CAGGAAGATAGTGAGGTTAAAAAAAAAAAATCAATGCAGCTGCCGTCCAAGTTGCTACCCAGTTTTTCTTCCTTCCTCTTTGCCTTAGTTCTTATATACAAGGGCTTCTCTTTGGGGCTTATTGTTTCTATAAAAACACATTTCATTTAGCGATACCTCAGTCAAGAAAAAAAAAAATGTCTAACAACAGCAGTAACACATTTCAGTGACTTAAGCGCAGACTGTTGGTTTCAGTTGCATCTGCTTCCAAACTTGGATGCTGACGTTCTAACCCTGTAGTTCAGAATAATAACTCAGTGCTGGCGTATGACCCTCCTGCAAATGCAATCAGTTAAGACAGAGTTATACTTCTATGCACACAAGAAGAATAGCATATAGTGATGCAGTCAGAGACTGGGGTGGCCCTACAGAAGCCAGAGAACACCAAGGATTGTCAGCAAACCCCAGAAGACAGAAGAGAGGTATAGATCAGCTGTCGCAGATGTCTACGCTTCGGGAATATAAGATGAGGCTTTCCTGCTTCTTAAGCCATCCACCTGCCCTAGAAAACGAGCACATGTGTGAGTTATCACCTGTGGTATGGTATGGGCTACTGCACACTTACTCCAATTTTTTGCTTTTTACTCTTAAGATTGCTGGCCCCAGTTCCATCTATGAACAGAGGCTGATGTTTGCCTGGGCTCAGCCAGCATGGCCAAAAACCAGTTCAAAACCCAGTCTCCTGACACTAACTATGCACTTTTTTTTTACACGTTATTACTTTGTAGACATTTCTAACAACAACAAAAAAGTTAAGAACAAAGCAAAGACTGGAGCTGCTATTCGAAGGTGCCCCCATCGTATAATAGATTGGTTTCTAAAAGAATTAGTTCTTAATCGATTCCTTATAAACTCAATGGTATTTTAAGCGCTCCCAAGGCATTTCCCATTTAAAAGTGCCCTGTGGGAGCTCCTTTTGTATAGCGAAGGGTATTTTTGCAATGTGAATGATTACCTGCTTCCTTCTAAATTTGTTTGCTTTCTGAGTGTAATTTCCTTTCCTATAAGAGATTTGTGTGTGTGCATGGAAGTAGGCCTGCCTTAAGTTCTGTGCCTCTGCTTTGCCTGGCGGGGGTTGGCAAATGCTTGCCTCTGCCATCCTAGTTAATGATAGAAATGAAGGCCGCCCACAAGTAGCAGTACCTTTTAAATACATGTGGTGTCTGAAATGCCTCTCTCTGTTTCCAGCCATTTGGAACATCCTCAACTTAAAAATCATTGCTCGTGTAGGAAAATGGGGAAAGCATCATTTTGTAGACGCCAGCACTGAGTTATTATTTACTCCCCAACTATTACTGAGCTCTGTGTTAATTACTGTTCCAGATACCTAGGTGTATGTAAAGCAGCAGGTGCTTCCTTTCCTTCTCTGGGTCTGCTTCTGGTGGTCCATGAGGGAAGGGATGGCTATAACTAACAATGTGACTTTAAAAACTGTTTTTAGGGGTAACAGCAATGGTTCCAAGGTTCAGAACACTTGCCTGTTTCCAGTTCTCAGCACATATGACAGTTAATAGATGTCTATAACACCACTTCTAAGGGATCAGATGCCCTCTTCTGGTCTCCTTGGGCCCCAGGCATGCATGTATGCGCACCACCATGTATGTGGTGTGCATACATGCATGCAGACAAAACATCTCTGTACATAATCATCTTTAATAACAGTTAACATTGGGGAGTGAAAGTTACCAATGTTTTCAGGGTTCTCTCTTGTTGTTGCTTTTGTTACTGATTTATTAATTTCGAAAATACCCGTAGAGACCCCAATTTTCAGGTGCTGCTTTTAGTCCTAGGGACACAAAGGTGAAGAGAACTCTGGCCCTATCTCTCACGTGGTCCATCTCCATGGAGAAGATAAATGTATAAACAACAACCCCAGCAACATAGAAGTACAGTATTATAGAAAGGCACTTTGGGAACACAATGCAAAGTGCCACACTTTGCTGGAAATGAAAGAGCGTGTCCCCAGAGTTGGTGGTATTCTCACAAAATCTTGAAGGATGAGTAGGTGTGTGTCAAATGCATGATGTCATACAGGACCTTTTTAAGAAGAGACAGCCATACATTCTATGAGGCAGTGATGCCATCCTGGTGTTTGGAGGCTGGTGGGTGGCAGGACACAGGAAATGAGGCGTTGAGTAGGAAACTAGTTGGAAACATTCGTGGTGTCAAGACCACAATGTAGGTTGGGCATTTGTTTGCTGTGAAGGGTTTCATCTCAGAGGGATGTCTTGGTTACTTTTCTATTATTGTAATAAGACACTACAACCAAAACAACTGGCAGAAGAATTTATTGAGGCTTACAGTCTCAGAGAGTAGATCCATGACTATCACGGCAGGGAGCACGGCAGTAGGCAAGCAAGCATGGAGCTGGAACAGGAGCTGAGAGCTCTACAACCACAAGGCAGAGAGAGAGAGAGAGAGAGAGAGAGAGAGAGAGAGAGAGAGATGGTAATGGCATGGGCTTTAGAAACCTCAAGCCCACCCTCAGTGACACACCTCCTCCAATAAGACCACACTTCCTAATTCTTCCCAAACAGTTTCAACAACAGGGGACCAAATATTTAAGTACACAAAGTCCACAGGGGCCAAGTATTCAAACACATGGACCTTTCTTATTCAAACAGTTACAATAAGGAAAGGACATAATGAAATTTGGTAGCCTTGGAAATAGCCTGAAATCTGTTGGGGTTGAGGACAGGGAGCTGAAACAGAGATAAATACAATGCCAAGACAGCAACTCTGGGGAAGGAGAAAGGGGAAATGATTTACACAATAGCGGTAAAGTAAAGTAAAAACCTACAAGTTGATGACAGAGATAGAAGGGAAAAAAGTTATTGGAAGATCACATATCTCTGGCATCAGCATGCATGCGTCCTTGGCGGGTGGGGAGAAAGGGATGACACGGACAAGGAACAAGCTACTGGGACAGATATCCAGAGACCAGAGAGTTCAGAAATTTCAAAGGAGATGTTTAAGAGTTACATCCCCACTCACTGCTACATGCAGGTTTGGGACCAGCTTGCTCATTCTGACCCAGCTACTCCTCAGAAATCTTTCCTTCAGTCACAGTAGAAATGAGGCCAATTTGCAGCTAACAGCAAGAGGAAGCATCAGCCCTTAACAACCAACAATTGAGAGCTGTGCCTGTCAGGGTCTCAGTTCCACACAGCAGAAAGTCCTTCCTACTTTAGTCAAGGCAGAAAAAAATCATTAGACTATATGATTGGCTCATAAAATCACCCAGAAGGCCAGGCTTAGAAGCATCATGGCCAGGGATGACACTTGGACTACACCGGACCTCTGATGCTGGGCTCTGGAAACCTGAAATTCTGCCTCTGTTGCTCAAAAGTCATGCAGATTGATCAGAAAAGTCATGCTGATGGATCAGAAAATAGTCTCTAGGGTTTATTTCCTCCCTTGCCTGTTTCCCACCAAACTCTCCCATCAACACATGTAATTGGCAGAATTTGAATCTACTCATATGTCCAGAAGGTAAAAACGCATATATCTGACTTTTTCCTTGGGGAAATGAGATTCATCAGTGCAGAAAATAAGTATTGCTTTAGAGGGCCATTGTGAAAGACAAAGCTAGAACTAATAAACCCCTGTTCCTATAATTTGGGAGCTAGGATAAGTGAAAACTTTGTGCTTTGTAGGATAGTTCTCCCCAGATCGGAGAATTCACTGTGGCACGTGAAGCATTTTCAGTTTTGTATAGTACGTTGTTGGTACACGCAGCCAGCATAAGCTCTGTCAATGTGGTCCTCTTGGGGCCATGGCAATTATGAAACTCTCAGCATATGCATTCAGTGAATACTAACTGCATGCCTGTGATGTGCCCTGATCTATATTTGGCCTTAAAGTCAATTGAGCAGAAGTATTGGAGACATCTGTGTCCATATAATTCCATGTCATGTTCACAGAGATGACACCTAGAGTCTGTCATCACTGCCACAATCTGTCATCGTTATAGAAGCAATTACAGTTCGCCATGACACAAAGACCTTCATGGTCACTCAGGGATGTGAGAGCTTCTTGGCAGGTGCAGCAGGACCATCTTGCTATATCTTCCAGTTAGCTACTACAGACTGCCTCAGTAAAAAAGAAGCCACCAAGGAAAAGACATGAGGTCCAAGGAGAAATAGGTCAACATCTTCTGGGGCATTTGGCCAGACTCTTCAAATAAGGATCCCAGGCCTGGGAGAGAGCGTCACTTCCTGACAACCATTTCCATCTTTCCCCCAAGGGCAGTCACCAGGGACACTCAGTGCACTGGACTTTCAGTCCCTGTGCAGCACAGGGAGATTCCTGGCTTTTATTCCCCATCTCCAGAGTCTCTCCATGCCAGAAAGCTCTGAATTATCCTGAAGAAAGAAAGCCATCTTGCTGCAGAATTAAGCATCATCCTAAGAGACACATGTGAGCCATGGTAAATGGCTTCACGCCTCAGTCATAGGTTAAATGTTTTAGGTGCAAAGAGGTTTCCTGGGCTCGGGCCTGTTTCCCTGGAAACATGGGCAGAAGCGATCTTCACAGGAACCAGGCAATCACATTATGACATGGGGCCCATGAGGACTTGGTTTCCTATAATTATGAGTAAGATTTGTATTACAGCTTCCAGTGTAGCTAAGACTCCCCTGTCCAGCTCTAGGCAAGCTTTCAGCATGGCCCAGTGTGCACTTCTGGCATGTAGCAAGCAGAGCTGACTATGTAGAGTTTAGGCACATTGAAGGTATTTGAATGTTCCCTGCCTACTCCAGGCCTCCATAGTTTCATTTCTCACAGCCACAGCATTGTTCTTCTGAATTCAAGACTCTTTTTTAAACGAGGTGTTTTAGCAGTCTCACCCTAAGATATTATATATATATATATATATATATATATATATATATATATG